GATAGGTAGATGGATAGATAGATAGATGGATGGCTTGTTAGATACGTGCCTGGATACCTGGGTAGAAAAGAGATCGGTAGGTGGATATATGTATCTATAATGTATATATGTACATATATATATATATCTAAAATACATGTATATGTACATGAATATATCTGTATATATAGACACATATATGTACGTATATAATATGTATATATATATGTATATATATATATTTATGTATGCATATGTGTATATATATATACATATGTGTACATACATATGTATACATATATGTACACATACATACATACATGCATGCATGCATGCATACATACATACATACATACATACACGCACATACATACGTACGCACATAGTAACATACACACGCACCGGCACTTGCACAACACACACATGCGAACGCGATTCTGTGGCCGCCATGATCGCTGCAAAGCGTTCCCGGCTTCGAGCTGCGCTGCTCGGAGCAGGCAGGAGATCCCACGAGGAGTGCGGATGAAGTTCGTGCGCAAGATGAAGTCAGCTCCACTCAAACAGCACAAACACCGGCGCCTTTCGCTTCTTCGGAAGGTTCGACGAAGGTGACACAAAACATGGACTTCTGCAAAACGCCATAGAGTTTCTGTAAGAGCACCTGTTGGCAATGCTTGTTCCTGGTAGAGCCACTGGCTCCACATGGTCGTTATCCGGAATGCTAGGATAATGCTGACTTAACGTTTAGGAGAATGAGAAAGACGCTGCAGTGGACAATGAGTGATAATCACCAGCATGAGCAGGATCGTGATGTCGATGATGATGCTGATGCTGGTGATGACGAAGGTGGCCATGATGCTAGGACGATGACGACGATGCTGATGAAGGTTGTGATGATTTCGATCATCTTGTGAGTGCTTGTGAGTGCTGGGAAGGGTGAAAGCTCCAAGCATTACGCGGGCACCTCAATCTGTAAGCCTTCCCAAGGCAAGGAATTCCGCCAGGAGAGACACCGGATGGCCACCCACAGAAAACGAGGATCCCCAGCAAATAAGACAGATCTGCCTCAGCCCACTTGTTGCAACCCATATCCTCAACCCTAGATGCGAATCCAAATTGCGAAACCCAGCCCAGGAAACTTACATGTAGATTAAGGCTTTTCGTGATCACCGCCGTGCGGCTCCGCGGCTCACCTCGTGCAGGATTTTCGGGCTTTGTGTTCAGCACGTGCTGCAGGCACCCTTGGCGTTGCCGGTCTCGCGATTCCCCGGGGTTTCAGCAACATGGCCTTGCCGCGGCGAGGCTTGGTGGTGCTTGCTCGGATTCGGTCTTGGCTTCAGGGTGGCTTCAAAGTCAGGACTTCGCCCTAGTTTAGAGTAGAGCTCTCTGAGTTGACTTCCCCGCGTGGGGTTAGATTCCGCATCAATCGCACAGACAGACACAGACAGACACAGACAGACGCAGACAGACGCAGACGGACGCAGACGGACGCAGACAGACGCACAGACAGACGCAGAGACAGACGCAAAGACAGACGCAGAGGCAGACGCAGACACAGACGCAGACACAGTCACAGACACAGACGCAGAGACAGACGCAGACACAAACGCAGACACAGACGCAGACACAGACGCAGACGCAGAGACAGACCCAGACGCAAAGACAGACGCAGAGACAGACACAGAGACAGACACGGACACAGACACAGAGACAGAGGCAGAGACAGAGACAGAGACAGACAGAGGACACACACACACACACACATCCAGGCATACGTGCGTTCACCGGTGAAAACTCACAGGCAAGCGCACACACACACACACGCACAATGTCTCTGATTGTCTCTTTCTCGTTCTTGCTCTTGCTCTTGCTCTCGCTCTCGCTCTCGCTCTCGTTCTCGCTCTCACTCACTCACTCACTCGCTCACTCACTCACTCACTCACTCACTCACTCACTCACTCACTCACAACTCAGGTAGAGAAGGAAGATACGCAGGCGTATGTCCATGGTATTTGCTTGTTGGTTTGTTTGGTTATCCCTTTCCGCTATCGGCATATGTGACGGTGGCTGCTGTATGACTCCGTTGAAACAAACACACACACATACATACATACATACATACATACATATCTATCCATCTATGCAGGCGCGCATTGCACATTCACGTAATGCGATTCATAACGTCGCATTTATGCATTTCTGTCGCGCTATCCAGACCTGGACGACGATGCCCGTCTCGTCCAGCAGCTGGGGCTCTAGCCTTAGTGATTCTTAGTGTAACTCTGGTTTCACATTTCTTCGAAGCATGCGAAGCTACGGTCCAGATATTGCAAAGGTGACAAACGTCGTGAAGTATTCGCCAGGCAGCTGACCTGTGCACCCGCATCCTAGTTTTGTACCTGATGGCCTTGTGCCTGCACTCATCCAGCGACATTGGCAGTTTTTTAGGGTTCTTGTTTCCGGTATCTGGTTCTATTTGAAGAACGTGGATTTAACCCCGTCATAGAAACTGAGGCTGGCGTATGATCCTGGAAGGATCGAGGCCACGGGGAGGGTTCAGCGTGCCGTGAGTCCGATGCTGTTCTGCTTCATTCAGGGGGGGCGTTGGCCGGCAGCCGCTTGCATGTGCGTGTTCCATACTTCGCTCTACCACAAGGAGGAAAGGGACAGTGACATAATTACAGATACCCAAGACTGCAGATTTGTTCCACGCCGGCCAAACATGCCCAGCCTTTCCAGAGGAGTACTTCGCCGAGCATCCAACAGAGCTGGCTTCCCACTTTATCGCTGTGGCCGCGGCCGGGCCCTCCTGGGTCGGAGAATTCAGGGTTTCGGATTCTGGAGATCACAGGGCCACGAGCACTGGAGGCAGGACACAGGACAGCGAGCATTTCTTTCCAGGAGATTCATAGGAGGAGTCTGCATGGCATCCTGAGCATCGCGCATGATCTGGGCTAGGTTACTCGCATTGGTCATCCACCCTTTGGGCACCGAAATGTGCAGGGTGCTATGTCCGCCACTTCCTCATGTTTGCACCATGCCTAGCAAAACGAAAGTGATTGTGAACGTCTAGAGTCTAGAACTCGTATTACCAGATGTACAAATATGGCTCCGGTCGGTGTCGCTGCCGGTGTGCGTGTGTGCGTGTGTGCAGAGGTCTCGCTTCAGTATTCTAGCACTGGACTAGCAATGCGATGATTCACGAGGTATTGCGACAAACCGTAAGCTCTGCAAGCCTCGTGACGGTGTGTGTGTGTGTGTCTCTCTCTCTCTCTCTCTCTGTGTCTCACTCTGTCGCTCTCTCTCTCTCTCTCACTGTGCCTGGGTGAATTTTAGTTTTTGGTTTGCACCCTTTCGCCTCACTGTTCAAAACTGTCCTGAGGATCTTCTTTTGTCAAGTACCGAGCTGTACACAACTTTGCATACTCAGAAGTTTTGCACAGGCCCCAGCTGCTCGATTGGAATTTCGGGTTGCTCTTGCACCAGTTCTAAACCTCCAGAAGCGTTGAAACCCAATCGCAAGCTGCAACATCCTCGGTTCCTTTGGGCCTCGCCTGATTCCTAGCCACCTGCTTCAGTCTGTGCTGGGGCTGTTGACCTTTACTGCCGTCGGGACCTCGGGTTGATTTGAGGTGAAAGCTTGTGGCATCTTCCACTTCAGGTTAGAGATCTCAAACACATCCACAGGTAGAGTCATCTACCGGTAAGACCTATGCCAGGTTGTTACCGCAGTGCCGACGTAGTTGGATCCTTCCACGGTGGCAGGTGACGCATCATCAGAACTGAGGCATCACATGATGATGGGCTGCTGGCAGATTTCTGCGCATGTAGCAAGCCAGTTGCTACTTCTTCGCCACAAATCGATCAGTGAGAATTTGCAGAACTTCAGGCTGCCACATTGACGGCAGCTTTTCGGGCAACGCTGAAGCTGTCACCTTCGGCAGAGGCCGCAGTGCGGCTTGTTCTCTTTCAGCGAGCTGGGGCTGCAGCACTGTTATCTTTAAGGATGAGGCATCGCGCACAAAAGCAATCACCAACTGCAACCCGGATACAGCAGCGTCTTCGGATTTATTCTATTTTCCGGGCATACGTGCCCGAGTTGGAATTCAGCGTTCCCGGGGCGAAAAGCTCAAGAAGCACTCTGTGTTCGTGGGTGGGGACGGGCGGGCAAGCCGTGAAACATCAAGACGCTGAGCCGCGACTCTCGGATACGTAGCTTGCAGCTTTGCTCGCTCAAGCAGATAATTGTAGAGGCCAAGTTCTCGTAATGCCCGCTGCATGCAATAGCCACGCCAGCCTTATAGTCACTACCCCCAGCCCTAGCCCGCACGTATCTGCACGTTCTGAGCCCAGTCAGTGGTTCCCTTGACCCCGGATTGCGTTGTCTGTAGTCTGTAGTTGCCGAGTACTGCATCAGTGTCAAGCTGAAACAACCTCTCACTCGGGGAACGCGTCGGCCTGCGTCGCCATGGCACTGAAGCTGCCAGTGGGCCAAAAGCGGCTCACCAATGTGGCCGTAGTCCGCCGCTGGATCGCAAGTGGAAGTATTTGCTTTGGAGATGTGGAGTCCGGTAGTACAGTGAGAGCGCTGGAGAAGAAACTTGTATGTGGATGCCAGGGTACCCTGACTTTCTCTATTTTCTGCACGGAACTCCCCCAGACCACAATCGCTGCGTGAGTCGCTAAGGGTAGGCTGGTTCGCATAGGCTCACCCCAACATTGAAGGGCTTTTAAGTCGTCGGAGTGTTGTTACTGAGAACAGGACAATGCTGAGACCTCGTCTGTTTGTTCTAAAGGCCCTAAGCAAAGTAGCAAATGGTGAGGGCTTGTTTGCTGTTCTTTACAGTTATGGAATTCAAAACAAGAGTGCTGAGGGTCCATTTTCGTGTTCTTCATAGGAACTTCCCAAATCCAAAGAAGAAAATGCGGAGGGCTGGTTGCTTTAGTCCTGAAAGCAATGGGTTAAGTCCCAAATAAGAAACCGAGACTCGCCAAACTCTCCTAGCCATGGCCTGGCTGAGGGATGAAAACGCATGGCATCCGATTCGAGATCGCTTGCTGCCTGGCTGCGATGATCGGATTGCAGGGGTTCTAACCGATAGGTCTCTGCAAGCTTTAGCCTCGGAGGCTTCTGCAGAAGACGGCACCCGCAAACCTTGTAGCGAAGTAGTGCCTTAGGTGCGCAACCCATCCCAGTACCACATGAGCTGTTTCAGCTGCCTCGGCTACCCGGTATACCTGGTGCTGAACCCCCGAACCCTCCCATTGAGGCTACAAGAACAAAGTGCTGAATTGGCGCGAGGGCATCGAAAAGGAGAGGGTTGGTTGGATTTGGCAGCAGAACGAGGGGAGGGAGCATTGAGTGACTTGGGCTTTCACTTAGTAGGGCAGCTTGGCACACTTGTATCCTTTCGGCTTAATGTCTTCAGAGCTCCACGCGTGCTTCAAACTCATCTGTGAAATTGCGAACTTCGCTGTCTGCAAAGCCAGACTGCTTATCTAGCCTGAAGGACATAGAGGAGGTTCTCCAAACCGAGACGGTCTTCACCAACGTGTCCAAGGCAGAGGGCCAAGGGCGAGCTAGCGGCTAGGCCAGGGCCTGGCACTCTGAAGAACCCGAGGCCGAAACCCAAGACCCGAACTCCCGAGCACCACTAACATCAAGTCCACCATTCATGGACCGAAGCTACCAGGCGATCATCGCCAAGGAGAAGGACTTGCAAAAGGCTTCTTGCCTCACCAGACCACTTGTCCCTGTCACTGCGGCCACATCTGCCTAACCGAAACAGTCCACTTGCCGCCTGAGGCCTTCGGAACCGTGGATCTTCTTGAGAGCCTTGGCTGCCGGAAGCCGGGCGCCGGAGAGCTGAAAGACTCGAAAGAGCCCGCAAAATACTCCTTCAAGGGCCTTTCGTCAGCTTCGATCGCGAGGCCAGGGGTTCAGTTTCCACATTGCCGTCACTCTCAGCTTCGGTAGGTTCCGCGACACGAGTCCGAGCCAAGGATCTGCAAGAAGATTCTCAAAGACGGCGATGTGCAAGTGTCTGACCGAGAGCGGGAGGTCCACATGGAGGGTCTCTGGAAAGTGCCTCGCCTAGGAAGTGGGAGCCAGACGGAGGGTCCCAGCGGATCCCAGCGGGCTGAGCTTGAGCTCTTGAGGACATCGTGCAGATCATTGTGGAACGCTGCGTGCACCCACAGACGGGCCGGCAGCTCACAGCTCCGACGGTGGAGTCTGCGCTGAAGTCCACTGGCTTCAGTGTGCGGCTGGGCTCTCTTATGCCGGCCATGCCATTTGTCTTCAGGCTTTCAGTTTTTTCAGAAAGGGTCGTCCAGCATCTTGGTGTCTACTGCGCATGCGGCAAAGCGACCTCAGGCACGGAGGTTGCATTATCGAGCTCTCAGCACACCCCACGGCAAATTCGTGTCCTGATCTTTCAGCTGTTACTCGTAGCTGCCTTGACACGGTCGCTTGGAGCTGTCGATCTCCCGAGCGCTACATCTCCAACCCAGAAGCTTGAGCTGGCGCCGAAGGGAGCCCGCCGAAACCTCTCAGAAGATGCCATAAAATCCCGTAAGGAATCTGGAAACCGGATTCTTCAGGGACTCTTTTGGCCTTTAGACTCGTCTTCTCTTCCGGAGCCTTGCCGCCGAGGCAGCCGGACCAGGCGGCCAAAAGACAGGCCCTGAAGGCCATGGAAACCTTAGAGGCGAAGATGCCCGCGGCCTGGCGATGAGTTTCGCGCAGCCAAGCATAAATCGTGTGCGTGTTTTAACGGTTTTTCGCAGCAAAGAGGCGGTGGGTTGTTAAGGCAGGCAGAAGCGGCGCCGCCAACTCTAGAAGCCCTTATAGAAACCCTTATGCTCTGAATCTTTGGATGGTCCGGCCCTTGCTGACTTCGCCCCTACTGCACCATGTACTGTATTAATGCATTTCAAGGTTTCAGGGTCCCTTTCTCCCAACCTCTTCTCTTCTCTGGAGATCACGTCCAAGACAAAACATGCACATCAACATCCCAGGAGAGCTTTGCCCGGGCGAAGATGCGTCTACAGCTTCTCCGAGCGCAAGTTATCCGGTCTTGGTGTCCAACATGCTTGCAGTATGTGCAATAGGGGCTGTGGTAAGTGGAGCCTTGGTATTCGGAGCACAACCCCGGCAAGCCGCACACGAATCGTGAGCAGCCTTGACTCTTGATTTGCTATGCTGCTATGCTTGCCCTGCGGCCTGCGTCGTTTTCTCCAGGCCGGGTGCAACTAAACCCGCATGCTATTAGTAAGAGAATCGATCCGCAAGAGCATGCAAGAGTCTTTGTAGCTCTGGGTAGTTCTGATGTTCGTGTTTGTTCTGCAAAGAAAGGCAACGACATTGGAAAGCCTAGGAATCAAGACGTATGACAAATGAGGACAGAAGAGGGGTGAAGGCAGTATTCCGTCAACGCATAGATGCATGAACGTCGCAGTTTTTACCAACAGCCGGAACGAGAACGCGTGACACCTAAAACCCCGTGTCTGCGGAGCCCTTCCATGCCGGGAGTGTCTCGTGTTACGAAAGAAACCGAACTACCAGCTACGACATGTATGCATTGGCTGTCCGGCAAGACTGTTCGTGATGTGGGGTACATCTTGCGCTGAAGAAGATAAGGATGATATGTCCGGAGTCGCTCCTGGCAAGCATCCGCAAGCACGTCGTGGAAGTCTGTGCGGCCAAGCGTCTTGTCATGCTCGCGTGTGTAGGGTTTCCTGTGAGAAGGGTTGACAACGGTAGAGAGTATCTGATCCTTCTCATCTGGAGATTCTACTTGAAAACAGACTCTGAATCAAGATGCAATCCCAGCACTGGACCTGACATGACAATGCAGAAGGCATAATATGACATCATGATGTATGAAGTCATGTTGACCAGTGACGAGTGACATCAATCAGTCTGTTGACAGAGAGGCATTTCTTTTGGTTTGACCTGTTGTGAGCCTTCTCGCTGAGGGGGGTTTATTCACTGCTGCGCCACTTGTTTCGCAGAAGCCCGTGCTCACTGGTTCCCAGTTCCCACCAAGATCCGGTAAAATGACCTCAGCCACTTTTCGAGATGTTGCACACTACCGAGGATCGAGTCTGAGCTGCTTGGGCGCACATGTGGGTAGATCGCTTCTTCAGTGTTCGTCCTTTGCAGCTCTACCGGCAGATGCCTGACGTCAAACCAAATGTTGGGCTTTGAGTAAATGCTTTAAGGAATTTCGATCTCAAGCTGGGATTACGCACGGGCACGTTTCCAGGTCTCACAACGCCGGCGCTTCGGCCGAGGCGGGGCCAAGTAAAGGGGCTGGAGGGTGGTGCCGGCCAGCGTCAGAGTTTTGCGGTTCTACGGCTCAAGATGGCTGCAGGCAAGTTCTGGGAACGCTGACGAAGGGTGTCTGCGGCTGCATGCCCGCTTATAGCATAATTAACGTTAGGGCTTCGCATTGAGCAAAGCTCCGTCGTCCGAACAATACTGCTAGAGTCTCGAGACTTCTGAGACGGGGAATCCGAAGGCCCGAACAGCCTGAGCCAAGAACCAAGCCGCAACAGTTTGTAAATAACTCGAGAATCGCAAGCCCTGAAGTTTGAAAGTCATTGCCTCAGTCGCAGCCTTGGAGCAAGTTGGAAATTCTCAGAATCACCAGGCAGTAAATTAACGTTCAGTGAAGACTGCTTGTGCTGTGGTTGCTCGCACACCCAAAGCCAGGAATCCCAGCAGGCACCGGCGGCCAATGGGGTAGCCCAGCCGCAAGAACCACGCTCAAACTCAGGATATGTGACAAGACGGGATAGGGAGCACCGCATGCAGACCTACGTGTTACGGACTGTGTGTATGTATTCATGGGCTCTTTTATCATGTACATGTATGTACGCAGGTATGCATGTCACTCATGCTCGCTCTGTGTCTGTCTCTCTGTCACTCACTCACTCACTCACTCACTCACTCACTCACTCACTCACTCACTCACTCACTCTCTCACTCACTCACTCTCTCTCTCACT